CCTATAGCTTTAGAAAGAACCCCAGGGCTGGGAATGTGTTACTGCTTCTGAAAACCATGTGAAAAAACCATGTGAGGCTTAGCAGCCAAAGTTTCCATTTTCTCTTGTCCGTTCTCCCTTCAAACATTCCCAGCTTGTTTCAAGATCTGGGCAGAAGTTGCTTTTTTGGTCAGGAATTATTGAGTCTGTCATCTGCACCTCTATAACTGTCTGGTTTGGTTCTGCAACCCAACAGGACAGACACAGACAGAGGATAATTAGGACTGCAGAAAAAACAATTATTACCAACCTGCCTTCCATCGAGGACCTGTATACTGCACGAGTCAAAAAGAGGGCTGTGAAAATATTTACAGACCCCTCACATCCTGGACATAAACTGTTTCAACTCCTACCCTCAAAATGATACTATAGAGCACTGCACACCAGAACAACTAGACACAAGGACAGTTTTTCCCGAATGCCATCCCTCTGCTAAACAAATAATTCCCTCAACACTGTTCAACTATTACAAAGTCTGCACTACTATTACTATTAATCTTCTCATCACTCCTTATCACCCATCCCCTCCCACTTGTGACTGTATGACTGTAACTTGTTGCTTGTATCCTTACAATTTATATTGACTGTTTCCTAGTATGATTTGATTTCTCATTGTACCCTATGACTATCATTAAGTGTTGTACCTTATGATTCTTGACGAAAGTATCTTTTCTTTTTTAGGTACACTGAGAGCATATGCACCAAGACAAATTCCTTGTGTGTCTAATCACACTTGGCCAATAAAGAATTCATTCATTCATTCATTCATTCATTCATTCATTCATTCATTCAGAAAGCAATCAGACTCCTACAGCTGGGATGCAGAATTGTGGATATGGAGTAAAGGAAGAAACTGCAGTCAAATTTCTCATTACAGTATTAGTTTAAAAGCATTATCCGCTAGTACCCAGCCCAGCATGAACAAATCATTTGACATACACGTATACCTGGTTGTTTGGAATTCAAATCAGTTTTCTCTTCAGTGGCAGGTGATCCCTGCCAAGGAGACATTCAAGGATTGCATTTCAGAGTCCAGCTGGAATCCTGACATGATAACTTGGATGGATTTGCCGTATGCTGAAATTGGTCAGTTCTCATGGCTTGCTGGATTCACAGATTGTTTTAGGTCATAAGCAGGGGTTGTGTTTGACCTTGTGAGGCCATGGGGGCATGGCCAGAGTGGGCATGGCCAACTCAACGTTAATCGTGTCAGGGGCACCTGTGGTGGATGGAGTGCTCTGCCAGCAAAAACAGGCTCCTGAGCTCCATTTTCAGCCACAACAGCAGTGGTGGTATTCAATTTTTTTTATGACCAGTTCTGTGGGCATGGCTTGGTGGGTGTGTCAGGGGAAGGATACTGTAAAATCTCCAGTCAGAGGTGGGATTTGCTGGTTCTCTGAACTACTCAAAATTTCCGCTACTGGTTCTCCAGAACTGGTCAGAACCTGCTGAATACTCTGCATAACAGCCGCCTGCGTGCAGCCCTCCCGAGCTGTTTTGCTGGCAGAGGCACCATGGCCCAGTCCTTTGCTATTTCCAGGGTAGCCCCGTGGGCCAGATCTAAGCACTCCACAGGCTGGATCCAGCCAGTGGGCCTTTATGTCCCCTGCCATAAAGTGTCCAAACAAGGTGCATCACAATACAAGGAAGCATGAATAATATTTTCAGATCATTAAAGCAACTGTGGGTAGTCCTCCATTTCTGATCATCACAACTGAAAGCAGAATTTCCATTGCTAAGGAATGTAGTTTTTAAGTGAATCCAGTTCCCCCATTGACTTTGCTTGTTGGAAGTCATCTGGGGAGGTCACAAGTGTGATCACACAACCCTGAGACACTGCAGCTATCATAAACACATGCCAAGTGCCAAGTGCCCAAATTTTGATCACATTACCATGGGGATACTAAATAAAACAAAACAAATAAAAGACACATCATCAACAGAAGAAAAATAATAGTGATTATACAGTGCAGAAAATATTGAATATATTACTAGATATAATTAAAAGTAAACTTAACCAAAAATCCTAATTAACAGAAAAGTAATCCTTATAATAGCTATCCATGGATATATTTAATGCAGCCATAATGTTTACCATTATATCTATAGGTACAGTGGTGGGATTCAAATTTTTTTACTACCAGTTCTGTGGGTGTGGCTTGGTGGGCGTGGCAGGGGAAGGATACTGCAAAATCTCCATTCCCTCCCCATTCCTGGGGGAAAGTTACTGCAAAATCCCATTCCCTCCCCACCCCACTAACCTGCTTTTCAGCTCCATTCTCCTGTGCAGTGCAACAAAAGAAGACCCACCGATCAGCTGGGACTCAGGAGATAGAGAATAGATGGGGGCGAGGCCAGCCAGAGGCGGTATTTGCCGATTCTCTGAACTACTCAAAAGTTCTGCTACCGGTTCTCCAGAACTGGTCAGAACCTGCTGAATACCACCTCTGGACTGCAGAATAACCTTTACCCATGGAACCCATCCCTGGTGCCCAAAAGGTTGGGGGGGCACTGATCTACACCATATAGCAAAATATCATGCCATCTTCTCATTTTCAGAAGACATTTTTAAAAAAAAAAAAAAAAAGATAAAACTCATATTTAGGATTCACTGCTTAAAATTAAAATTCTTAAATATTATATTTGGATACAGTTGTGCAGCCAGTTACATCACTTTTGGAAGGGAAAAATAAATGCAGGGGCCTCCTATTCCAAGCATGCCCAACTCATCTTAAATCCCACCAAACATTATCATCTTGTATTATTATGGAAATTAGGGATGGGGAGTGGAGTGTTCTCGTCCCTTTTTACCCCTTTATCACATTGCAGGCACCTTGTTGGTTCCCTTCTATATTATTGTTCTGTATTCTGTACAGTGGTGGATTTGTAAGCTGTACAGATACAGATAGATAAACTCAACAAGACGTCCATAACGAAGTACATTTATTGGTTCATCAGGTATCATAACTCACATTTGTGTTGAAGTTCTTCTTTAATGACCAATCCTTTGTATATCTGTCTTGTAGGTAAAAAGATGATTATCTTCTATCCTTTTTCTCTCATCTCGTGGCAATAGAAGTACAACAGTTACCACGAGTCCATGAGTTCAGCCAAGAGTGAGGAAAACTCCTCCTACCCATCGAGGGTCAATTTAGTGACCAATCAGGATTACAGATGTGGTCACGTGATATGGACTACATTTCCCAGGATACCTTAACTACATTTACCATGATGCATTCCCTTAAGGGGACAGCTCACAATTGCTACCTAACTATCCAAATCCCATTAACTCTAAACTGTCTGGACAGCACAATTATCTTACCCACAAGTATGTTTTTGTAGCTAATTCTTTTAGCAGTTGACAGTCCAATTTTGAGAGACCTTGTTTGTTAAGATACGTATCTGGAGACATTTGATGTAAAGAAAACATCTTTACTTCATTTTCTATTCCTGCTCAGCTTTTTCTACTCTGCCTCTCAGAGGGTGCAGGAAGTAAGAGTATCTTGGAAAGCTTCTTGGCCACTTTCCTAGTCCTGTGCCCAAAAACTTTCCACTTGGGAGCCCGTCAGAAGCCAATCCCAGTATCTGAGTACTTTGATTGCTTGAGTTGCATTCCCTATGATTCTGTGCAGATATTTACCCTCCCTATTTTCAGCTATCTAAACGAAATAGCATCTAACAAGCATCATGCACCGCTGGCATAGTGGCATAGTAATGTCAGTGGGATACTAGCTGATAATAGGCACAATATCTGAAAACTGTGGATATAATATTAAATCACTAAAAATTATATTTTCAAGGAGATTGCGAAATAACATTCAACACTAGGTGACACAAAGACATTCCAAATTCTCTTGATCCAATGTGTGAGTGTGTGAGGGTGTGTGTGAAAGCACACTGGCCACAATTAAAAATGAAATTCTGTTGCCTGCTCTCAAGAGAAATGTATATCTACCCAAACACATACATAACACACATATTCATATGCTATATACATAAATATATACCTGCACCAAACACACACACACACACACACACATATACACACACATGCATACACAGAGAGAGCGATACTGTAGATTAGATTAAAATAGATAGATAGATAGATAGATAGATAGATAGATAGATAGATAGATAGATAGATAGATAGATATAGTGTTGTGTTAACCATTAAGCAGACTAAGCAGGTGCTCAGGGCACCAGGCCCAAAGGGGGCACCATAAAAACTTTTATCTAGCCTGTAGTGTACTTATGTACATACTTCTAATACCGCATTCCTATTGGGTAGTTAACATAGCTTAACGATTGGTTAATAATGACAGTTTCGGATTGGCCGCCTAAGTGGCGGGAAGTTTAAATAAATGCCATTGGTTGCAAGCCACGAGCAGCCGCTATATAAAGGGCTGCCGCGGCTCAACTTTAGTTGAAGTTACGAAGTGCTAATAAAGAGCTGAATTCAACTCCTGTCGTCGAGTCTGTTTTGTCTGGTGATAGAACACTGGCGACGAAGGTGGGATCGGTGGAACAAAGACTGTAAGCACGTGGCAACGACAGCCAAAAGACTCACGAGATGGCCGGCAACAATTCGCCACCCGCACCATTCAAACCAGCCAAAGAAGACTGGGAATCATATATTGACAGGTTCCTGATGTTTTTAGAAAGCAACAAGCTGCAAGGAATCATGGATCAGAGGAAGAGAGCTGTGTTCCTGACACATTGCAGCCCGACTATTTTCAAAATGGCGAAGGCATTAGCAAGACCCAATGATGTTAAACAGATGGCATGGCCAGACCTGAATCGAATGCTGAGGAACCATTACGCGCCTGTCGTGTCCAATCTCATTAGAAGACATGAATTCTACAAGCGTGACCAACAAGAGGGCGAAAGTATTGGAGACTTCGTGGCAGCACTAAGAGACATTGGGGGGGGGGGCATGCGAATTCCTCAACATGGATGAAGCCATGAGGGATCGCATAGTCCTTGGATTGAGAGATGCTACCCTACAGAGCAAATTGCTAAACCATCCCAACATTACCACAAATGAAGCCATCGCCGAAGCAACTGCAGCCAAAGCAGCAAAGAAGTCTGCGGCAAAAATGAAGCAGATGAATACAACCAACAGCCGGAGCCAAAATAGAGAAAAGAAAACAGAAGGGGGCCAGAAGCATACTACCACAACCTCTCACCATGAAGATATTGAATCATCAACCGAGTCCGAAGAAGATGAAGAGGTAAACAGACTCCACTCAGATAGAAACAGGAGAGAGAGACGAGGGAGAAAACCTGAATTTCAGTGTGCCAGATGTGGGGGAAATCACCCACGTTCTGAGTGTCGTTTTTTGGATGCCATCTGCACGCATTGTGACAAACAGGGGCACATTGCAAGGGTCTGCCAAAACAAAAAGAGCTATAGTCCCAAAAGATGAGGCAGTACCCCCACCCCCTCAGAATAAAGGAAAAGCCAACTGGAAGTCGCTGGAGCCGGGAACATAGGAGCCAACGGCTCAACGAGAAGGAAGAGACACACCAGACAATCACTATCAGGACAGCCAGAACAACAAACACTAAGAAGGTTTGAGTCAACGTCCAAATAGAAGGGGAGCCATGTGAGATGGAAGTAGACTCTGGCTCGTATTTATCAATGGTATCATGGAACACGATAAAAAACTTGATACCAGACATACAATGAAAAGAACTCGAAGAACAAAGCTTGATCATCAAAGACTACCAGGGAAACAAGATACCCGTGGTAGGATTGGGACATTTCAAAGTAAAGTTTAAAAAACACACCGAAATTCTTCCATTAACCATCATCGACCGAGATTGCCCCAGCCTGCTCGGGTTAGAATGGTTCGAGCCTCTAGGAATTGAAGTGACAGGAATCAACAGCGTCGCCCTGACGGACTGGGAGAAAGACCTGATGGAGGAATTCCATGACGTATTCGACGGGACCTTAGGCAAGTACCGTGGGACCCCTATATCATTTAGCCTAAACCCGAACATAGCCCCTATCAGGCTTAAAGCCAGATGTGTACCATTTGCATTAAAGCCCAAAATTGATGAACAACTGAACGAGCTTATCACACAAGGGGTGTTAGAGCCAATCGACCATGCAAGATGGGAAACTCTGATTGTAACCCCCATAAAACCAGATGGGTCTGTGCGCATCTGTGGTGACTATAAGGCCACCCTGAACCATGCATTGCAACAGAGCGCATACCCCGTCCCAGTAGTCCAACATCTGCTACACTCACTTGGGGGAGGAAAGATCTTTGCGAAGCTCAATCTCGCACAGGCATATCAACAGTTACCAGTTGATTCCGAGACGGCAGAGGCACAAACCATCGTAACACATAGAGGAGCCTTTAAATACAACAGATTACAATTCGGTGTCAGTGTGGCCTCCGGCATTTTCCAAAGCCTAATGGAACACCTCCTCCAAGGATTAAAAGGGGTGGTTCCCTACTTCAATGATGTACTAATATCAGCCAAAGATAAAAAACAACTAAAAGACAGATTAAGGGCAGTTTTGTTGAAATTTAGAGAAGCAGGACTCAAAGTCAAAAAAGAAAAATGCCAACTTGCCACAAGTCAGGTCGAGTTCCTAGGATACCTTATCGATGAAGCAGGAATCCACCCCACACACAAAAAAATCCGAGCAATAAAAGAAGCTCCCAGACCCAAAAACAAAACGGATTTGCAGGCATTTTTGGGACTCATTAATTTTTATCATGTCTTTCTGCCACAGAAGGCAACAATAGCGGAACCACTGCATAGACTCCTCGATAAAAAAGCCACCTGGAAATGGGGCCACCAAGAAGAAGCTGCATTCCAAAGAATCAAGGACTTAATCACATCTAAATCTGTATTGATCCAATACAGTGACACACTACCCCTGATGGTCACCTGTGACGCTTCACCTTTCGGCGTAGGCGCAATACTCAGCCACACTCTACCAGATGGCAGAGAAGCACCGATCGCCTTTTATTCCAAAACGTTGACCAAAACCGAAAGGAACTACAGCCAACTGGATAGGGAAGCCTTGGCAGCCATCTCAGGGGTAAAACGCTTCCACGAATACCTATACAGTAGGACATTTTCCTTAATCACCGACCACAAACCACTACTGGGAATCCTGGCCGGAGACAAGGCCACCCCCAACATCCTATCGCCAAGAATGACAAGATGGTCAGAATTTCTTGCAGCCTACAATTACAAGCTCATTTATCGACCAGGAAAAGCTATAACCCATGCAGACGCATTAAGCCGTTCACCACTACCAGGTCATGACGACGATCCAGCTCCCACGACGCATACCCTACAAATTGAAACAGTTCCTAATTGGCCCCTCACCGCATCGGATATAGCAAGGGAAACAGCAAAAGATGCACTGATGGCCCGAATACTGAACTGGGTAGGACAGGGCTGGCCGGAAAACGAAAAAGCCGAGACTTTTAAACCATTTAAAAACCAGCAAACTGAATTGTCAATTGAGAAAGGATGCATATTGTGGGGAGATCGGGTAGTTGTTCCAAAAAAATTACAAGAAGATATACTAAACATGTTGCATGAAGGACACCCGGGCATGGTAAAGATGAAGTCCCTGGCCAGAAGCTACGTCTGGTGGCCAGGAATAGATAAAGACATTGAAACCTGGGTCAAAACATGCAACAAATGCCAGTCATCCAGACCCACTCCCCCCTTGGCACTGATCCTTGACTGGGAGACACCCAGAGGCCCCTGGTCAAGGATCCACATACACTTTGCCGGACCCACAAAAGGATATACTTATCTAATTACAGTGGATGCCTACTCCAACTGGTTAGAAGTCAGCATCATGAGTTCGACAACAACAGAAGCCGTCACCAAACAACTAAAGAAACTTTTCGCCACCCACGGTCTACCAGATGTAGTAGTATCGGACAATGGGCCACAGTTTACAGCTTTGGCTTTTGAACAATTCCTCGCAGAACATGGAATAAGACACGCTCTGACAGCTCCGGTTCCTCCGGCGGCAAACGGAAGGGCGGAACGCATGGTTCGTTACACAAAAGAAGCATTAGAAAAACTTGAAGGAAACAACATGCAAGAAAAAATCAACACCATGCTCACCATCCAACATGTAATTCCATGCACAGCAACAAACAAGAGCCCAGCTGAACTGTTAATGGGCAGGAAGTTGCGCTCCTATTTGGACAGACTGCACCCCACTTACAACCCTGAAAAGCCACCAGACTCTTCCAGTAAGTACCAATCGTTTTTGCCAGGTGACCTGGTATATGCAAAAAACCTTACCAGAGAACCGTTGTGGTTACCGGCAACAATCACACAAATTACAGGTCCCCGATCATACCGACTAGTAACAACTGACGGCAGATCATGGAAAAGACACATCGATCAATTACGGTCACGATACATCGAACGCAACACCGACACTTCCCACAACATGGAACTAACAATTCTACAAGCACCACCAGACAACTTAATAAAAAAGCCAGAGGGGGGGGAGACATTTAAATAATAAAGAAAATGAAAAACCTCCGGTAACAAACCACCAACCAGAAGCTGAAAACCCAGAAAGAAATAAAAATTACTTACAATTAGACGAAGTTGGAAAAAGAGAGCTGAAGGAGAACCAGGGGAGAAACAACCAAGCTGACTCGACCTGCCCGCACACATTGCAGAGGAATAGCGAGGACCATCCAATCAACCCAACAAGGCACGGCGGGAGTGGCATGGCTGAGGCACCCTTCCAGGCGGTTCCAAGGAGAAGAGTGGAGAGGACAGCGGGCCTGTCTGAACCGGTGGAGACCAATGCAGAGACTGAACTGCGCAGGTCAACAAGAACTCACAAAAGCCCCGCCTACTTGCGCGACTACATCACGTAACGTTGGAGCGAACCAAGAGGGGAGGGGTGTAGTGTACTTATGTACATACTTCTAATACCGCATTCCTATTGGATAGTTAACATAGCTTAACAATTGGTTAATAATGACAGTTTCGGATTGGCCACCTAAGTGGCGGGAAGTTTAAATAAATGCCATTGGTTGCGAGCCGTGAGCAGCCGCTTTATAAACCTGTAGAATCCCACCCCTGGTCTTGAGACACAGACTAGTATCTTCCATTCGAATCCTTTGTTCCCTCTCCATAATCTTGAGGTTACTCCTGTAGTCAGGCCTTTTCCAAATATGTCAAAAAGTTGTTTATTATTTCATGAATTTAATACTTAAATAAAAGACTGGGTGAAACCAGGCTTAATAGCAGTGACCTTGAGACTGGAATGAATTGGAGCTGCAGACTTGTGTTGGGGAACTGGTTTAAAAATGGGAAGCCTAGATATTCCTGCAGGCCTTACGTTCATTCTTTTTTAAGACTTTCCTTCAATTTCCCTTCTTCCTCCCCAACACAAATCTGCAGCTCCAATTCATTCTACTTTGGAAACTGAGTCTGCAACCAGAGGAATTGGTTCCAGAGTAAAGATGCATAAGATTGCTCTGAAAATGGCTGTAACCATTTGGAAATGTGTATCCCACTTCAAAGAAGGAAAAAAGGAGGAGGGAGAGGAGGGGGAAGAGGAGGAGAGGAGAGGAGGAGGGATGAACATGTGACTGGGGGAAGAGAGAGACAGAGAGAGAGAGATTTTTTAAAGCTACATCCCCATCTCTTGTTTGTAACAAGAGAAGGAAAATGACTTTTTTGACTGGGATCTACTTTGCTGGCAGCGTTCCCCATCAGACTGGAGTAGACTGCTGGAACATAGCAGAGAGTGATGAAAGAGCCCCAGTCCCACCTATTTGCATCTCCCAGGGGAACCTCAGATTTCACTTCTGGTTGCACAAAGTTCATGGCTCTTTGCCAACAGCCAAGCAGCTATCAGAGCCCTGATGGATGACGGCACAAACCACCTGAGCCAATTTCCACTGGCAGCCCCACAGACCTAGCTTTCATCACCCATCAAGCCATCTGTTGGTGTCCACTGGGGGGCTTTCGGTCTCCATTTCAGTGAAGGATATTTTTACAGCTGAGTGGTGGCAGAGCTGCGATAGGTGAGAGAGGAAGACTGGGCTGAAAGCAAACACTCAGGACAGATTTTTGAAAGGGAGCGAGTGGGTAAACCCAACAGTTTTCTATAAACTCAGTAACCAAAGCCAGTGAGCCAATTTACAAAGGGAGTGCTGACAAAGGAGAGTCTTAGCATGGGTCTTTTTCTGTATTTGTGCAGCCTAGGAAATAAAGCACTTGTGAACACATTTACCCAAAATTAAGGGTTACAAGCTTAGGAGATTTTCCAAAGGAGTTCTAAGCATGTAGTTAGCAATGCAATCCCACACAGGTCTACTTAAAAGTAAGTCGGGCTGAATTCAGTGTGATATGACAGCATAGGTAAAGTTGAGTATAAACCCTCTCAGTGAAAGTAATGACATTCCTTGCATCTCTAGTTTCTGTAAAGGGCGGATGAAATATGCTTCTCTCTTCCACTCACTTTTCTTAATCAAATATTCAGCAAAAGTCAAAACAAAGGAGTGACTGCTGGCAAAACTAAAAGTTGACTAAGACTGGGTCAAACTATTCCATTTAGAGACCCCAAATATTAAGGCCAATCTGAATTCTTCATTATGGTCTCTCCGCTGTAGGCACTGGCAAGTCACTTCTGAAAGGGCCCCTCTGAGAGAGATGGGTGGTTGAAAAGTGTGATTAAATAAATAAACTTGAGATTATTTGATTCTTGTTTTCAGACTACTTCAAGGTGAATAGCTTGAATCTCAGAACAAATCTTCTTTAGAGTATTACGAATGAAGTGTTCAAATAAAGTTCATCTTACTTACCACACCAGAAGAATATACAGGCGGTTACACATTGCAATTGCATAATAGCACACATGGAATCTGCTTCTAATCGTAGTTTGTTTGGAAGGAAATCTTATTGATTTAAATGGTTTGGCTCATTCTTTAAATCTCAGCTAGAATAATAAATCAGGGAGAGGGGAGAATTATGTTCTGGTATTGATCATAGGTGCATATTTTGAAATGTTGAACTTGGTTTAGAATTTCTGAATGATTTTGCTACTGTATATAAGTGATTGGCAGCTGAGAAAATAGATAGCTCTTTTCAAACCCCATTGAACATTCATTCTGTCACTCAAGTCGTACTTCTTAAACGTGGCCATTTAAAAGGCTAAATTCCTAGATGTAGAAGGCAGAAGCAGAGGGCATCAGGACCAGAGGCGGTATTTAGCAGGTTCTGACCAGTTCTGGAAAACAATAGCAGAAATTTTGAGTAGTTTGGAGAACCGCTAAATACCACCTCTGACTGACCCCCGCACCCGTGGGGATTTTGCAGTAACCTTCCCCCAGGAGTGGGGAGGGAATGGAGTTTTTACAGTATCCTTCCCCTGCCATGCTCACCAAGCCATGCCCACCAAGCCACACCATGCCCACCAAGCCATGCCTACAGAACCGGTAGTAAAAAAAATTGAATCCCACCACTGATCAGGACATGCTAAGTCCAAATCCATTAATTGACATCAATCTCTTGTTAAATTGATTCTGAATCTCTATACATAACATAGCAGCAGCAGAAGAAAACATATTATATATTAAAAGAAACATGGTTTTCATGTTATCAGGCATTTTTCTCCTTCTGTCCTGGCCACTTTTTACAGAGGCACAATTGAGAGTGTTTTAACAAACTGCATCACTGTTTGGTTTGGTGGCTGCAGTGTCTCAGATAGAAAGTCCATACAGAGAGTAAGGACAGCTGAGAAGATTATCGGAAGCTCCCTTCCTGTTATTCAGCATACTGCTTATAAGCGCTATGTGCTTAGAGCTCAAACATTGTTAGAGACCCCACACACCCACTTTACGGTCTGTTTCTATTGCTCCCCTGTGGGAGGAGATTTTGAACTCTTTCTAGCAGGACTATCCGATTCTGTAACAGCTTTGTTCCCTATGCCATCCGTCTGGTAAAAACTCGCAAGATTCGTTTTTCTCACCATGTACATGTATACATCCAAACTAGACTGTGTTGTTTCTCCATGTCATATAATAAATGTGAGTATATGCATAATTTGGTATTTATTATTTATTTATTTATTTTGTCATGTTTATGTACTGTATATTGGAGGTGGTGACCCTTTGAGAGCTATATGCAATGAAATCCCATTTTAAAGTAGGCCGATTAGCGCACATTCAAATTGACAATAAAGTTATTCTAAGTATGTCATGATAATGAAAAGCATTTTAGATAAAGTTAGCAGAATGTTTCAATAAGCAGACTGAATGTGGCATGTTTCTTTACGAACGTGTCCATAAAGAAAAGAATAGAAATGTTTTGGGTGAAAGGAACTGCAATACAATAAATTAGGGTTGATGCAGAACAATGTTTACAGCAGGAGAATACATTGGACCCAAGAAGATAACACAAATTTATTTGGCTTTACTTACCTTCTGTTATATGTTTAATGTTGTATACTGAAATTTAACTATAATGTGCTTCTCTCCCTTCTCTATTTCAACAGAACAAGATCCAACTACTACTTACTTGGCAGCAGGACTACAGGGGTGGTCTTCATTGATTCCACTGATTACTCTGGGGTTCCACTGAAGTTCTACCACAGAGCTTACAGTTGGGGAAAGTGGAACCAGTGGATGAATCTTCTCTTATCTATATATGCTTGAAAATCTGGAAGGGAATTTTTCAGTAGGAAGAAACTTATTAGTGGAATGATGGAAACCAATCAATCAAATAATCAATCAATGGAATTGGAAATGGAACCAATTATCTAGTGGTGAATACCCTTTGGGTGGAAGTTTGGATCTGCCCAATGCCAGGGTGCTTTGATATGGATTTCGGCCATGAGCAACAAATTGGATACAACCAGCATAAAAGGTTTCTAGTTGTTGATTGTGTGTTGTTCTTTAACTCTTTATAAAAAAAATTTCCACACTGCTGCAACAACAGTACAGCTGCAATGTGCCAAACATTTCCTAGGCAACCCTTGGGCTGAACTTGGTGATTTGGTGATTCCTGAACCAAAGATCCAAGCAGGCAACAATGGAAATGTGTGTATTTATTTATTTATTTATTTTTGATGGCTTTCTAATGATTGACAACAGATGTTTCCAGAAAGATGAAATTGGATGCTCAGAAATCTAACACAACATATTAGTCAATCAATCAGAATAGAGCTGAAAGAGACCTTGGCAGTCTTCTATTCCAACCCCTGCTCAAGCAGGAGACCCTATACCAGTGGTGGCTAACCTTTTTGGGCTCCTGTCCCCAAAATTGTGTGTGCGCTTGCATGCTTGCGCTTGCGTGCCAGCACCAAGAAGGCAATGCGCACGCCCACACACCCCCTATGCATGCGTGTGCAATACCCCACCATCGTACCACCCTGCCGCCCCCTTACCTGCACTGTACCTCACAGCTGATTTTTTGCTGGTTTGAGGCCTTTTTCAGCCTCCCAAAGGCTTGAGGAAGGCTTCTGC